CTGCAGGCACCACGATGCCCACCACTGCAGTGGTACTGCGTGGAGCAGTTGTGGCTAGTGGCCGACGAGGACGTTGACGGCGTCACGCTGTCCCCATATAGGGGCGTCACTCCCGGAATCAAATGAATTTTGATTAAGCCATCATCCTTTGATAAATGTCATCTCCCTCCGATACCTGGTTGTGCTCGCTAAGCTTCTTGAGGGTCGAGGATGACGTCAAAGTAACAAATCTGGTCTCGCAGTGGATCATTTTGTGGGCGTGAGCTTCACGAATGCCGCTCAGTGAGCGTCTATGCGTGTCCAGCACGCGCGGAACCCGGTGTTCACTCGTGATATCTCAATCCCTTGAATGATTAACACCGTATCTTCGGCTCTGATCGTCGCCTCATTCCTGGGCAAGTGTTGGGCAGAGAAGTTGATCCGAATGAGTATATTTGTGCAGAAAGAGGATGCTCTTACGAACCCGGGTGATTTAATGACCAACTTGAAGGTCGATGGTGAAGACGTGACCGTTCTTGTTGACACCGGAAGTCCATTCACGTACTTTGTATGGCGACACTGGTACGAGAGTACCAACCCAGGTGGCTGCGAGAAGATCATCTACAAGTGCTACGAGTGTAATCCAGCGCCATGTCACGAGGGTCCGAAAAAGCATGTCAAGTTCATCGACGGCACATATGTGAATGTCTTCTTCTACTCCGGGAAAGTCAATTTTGGCTCTTTCACTGCGAGTGGTATCGACTTCGGTTTGCTTGCTGGAACTAATGGTGGAGCTTCAGCTGCTCTCGGTTTAGCGCCGCGCAGCCCTTCGGCGAAGCCATATGTTCCGCTGATCAATCAGCTACTGGCTCTGCCGAAAAGTGAAAGACCAATCGAGAAGAGCATCTTCTCAGTGTATCTTAATGCTGCGAGTCATCCTACTGGTGAACTCATCCTCGGTGGTCAAGACAAGAGCAAGTACATTGGCTCATTGAAATATATGAAAGTTAACATGGTTGAAGAAACCGTCAAAATGTCGGGCTTGGGCATTGGCGACGTAGCGAAACATCGCATTAGAGTATCGGCCGAGGGTCACGTCGACACAGGCTGCAATTATATCGGACTCCCAGAGAGGCTTAAAGGGTCGGTTCTCAAATTGTTGGCGACTGTTGGCGATAAGCCAGTTAAGATCGAAGAGAATTCTGGTGTCTATGAGGTCTCCTGTGGAGACGCTAAGTATCTACCCCCGATAACCTTTTTCGTGAAGGGAACAGGCCTCTTTCCTTCAGATGTGTCGATTGAGGTACTTCCCAGCAGTTACGTGGTCCAAGAGTCCGAGTCTTCCTGCTTCTTAGCCATCTTATTCGATGATATGTGGATTTTGGGGTTGCCAACAGTCTTTGGTCACTATTATTTGTATGATTGGGAAAAATCTCGCATCGGTGTGGCCAAGAGCAATTCTTGATATCATCATGTCCTGCATCGCGACTCATGAATTTGTCATGGAGATTGAGAATTTTCCACTTGCGAGGCAGATTCAACTTATTTCATACCAATTCTGATCCATTTGAGTCTTGCGCATGATTATTTGCGAGATCTACCGGAAGGGCCCTTTCATTGTAGTAAGTTCCTTCTTCTACAAATATGCCATCGATCGCTCCGCTGGCGCGCATAGGTCAACCGCTCAACGCTTAATACACGTGCCTCCGTTGCGGAATTGTCCTGATCTCGTCAATAGGACCATGTTAGTCATTATCTCTCATACGAGTACAGTAGACAATTCGGTGCATACGTGCTTCTTCGTCTGTGCGCTGTACATGAGAACACAGCACTGGCTTCGCCTTGCGATCAGTACGATTGGTTCTGACAGTCTACACTGTACCTCCCAAACATATCAGATCCCCTTGTGTTACACCAATTACGGGACAGGATTCATTGTCGGATCATCGGCTTATGCTGTTGAGAATAGTTCTATTGTGCGTTCGCCTGCTCACTGGGAGAATTCGACATAAGGAGAGATGGGTTAGCGAGAAAAGATGAGCAATGAACAAAACGTGACGCCATCGAATCGACTATCGATCAAGCTAATAGCGTAGAGAAAAACTGTTCGTCACTAACTTTGCGCTGACATCAGGCTGCCGTCAGTCGCACACTATTCTATTTTATATCACTGTCATCTCGTAATGGTTAGCTCTGTGGATAACGACACTCTTGAGTTAGCACTGTGAGTGCTACTGCAACTCAATACAGCTGCGTATTGCAAGACATGGATTGGGTTCATCAAAGGCTTCTCGTGTAGTGTGAGAGTATACAAGTGAGTGTAAAAACATGAAGAAACCAACGAGTATTACCTCGGAAATGCGCAAGTACGATTGTCATCTACGCGCTTACATGCGAAACCTCGCACACTGCTCCTGATACCTAGGGGATGAACGTACCCGCTGCCCAAATTCCCACCACAAGGAGACCCACTTTCTGAAGATCTCTCTTTCAATGCAAGACCTGTCCTATGATCCGACAAGAAACAGAGGCACAGGAATATTTGAGAGGATCGATGTCACGCCAAGATACAGTCACTCATGTTTACGTTTCAGAGTCCATGCTGATTACCGAGAAACCGTCAGAAATTAACGGATATTCAATGAACGAGATGCCCGAATGAATGAAATATTTTGGCTCATATGTATCCGGGTGTTCAAAAAAGCTATCGTCAAACCCAGGAGCTCTCCCAGGAGAGGCGTGCGTAAAAACGCGTTCAGTGGACTACGATCGGGTAGAATACGATAATATCAGAGCGCGTTAGTTGAGCGTGATTCCAAAAGAACACTTCAAAAGCGTTGTTCAGCAGCCCTCTTAGGAGCCTGTTCTGTGTTGTTTCTTGAACACCCGGTATCATTCATATGCCCGAAGCGATACACATATATTCTGCGCGTATCGTCATGGCGATGGCCGATCGCGCCAACATACTGTATCTTCCTCGAAACCGTTACCGTTCCGGATGCCCATGATCGCCATGAACTATACCCAAACTACAGACTCTTTTCTGATCTATTTGCTTCACCTATTCATTGTTGCACTATGACCAATGGGTCCGCAGACGTAACCCGCCCCACCCTCCTCCTCACCGGACCTAGTACCACCAATACTTCATTATCTCTTTCCGGCTACATCCCAAGAGTAATTCCTTTTTACCACGTCAATGCCCGCCTTTGCAGGGCAGAGCATTCGCTCGTTCGGTCATCATTTTGTCCATCATCCCTAGCAGGCTAGCGTCATCGCGTTGATGGCAGTGAGTTTTCA